GTATTAACTTTTTTATAACCAAAATGATCAGCACAAAAAGTTCTATAAGCCTTATAAATTTGACGTGATTTGAAGATGTTCACTGTAACGATGGTAGGATTCCCATGGAATCACCCATGAGTAAGCTTGAGTACATCCGATGAATTTTTAAAGGCCACTATGATATTATCGAATTGCAGAATAAACAACTGTTCTATCAGATTTAGAAAATGAGAGTCGGAGAGAGGTGAATGACCATTTTGAAATAGAAGAAAAGATACACGCACGTCTCTCTTATTGAGGGTGTGGGTGTGGGGTGTGGGCGTGGGTTTGGATGTGGATGTGAGTGTGGGTGTGGGTGTGGGTGTGTGGTGTGGGCGTGGGTTTGGTTGTGGATGTGGGGGTGGGCGGGGGTGTGGGGGTGGGGGTGGGAGTATGGGTGGGAGTGTGGGTGGGGGTGTGTGGGTGTGGGGTGTGAGTCTTCTATTCATCTTCACCCACACCCACCACCACACCCTCCCACACCCACATCCACACCCACACCCACCCCCACCCCCACCCCCACCCCCACCCACACCCACACCCACACCCACACCCACACCCACACCCTTTACACACTCCACCCCACATCCTCATCCTCACCCTTTCTAGTTATTTGGGATTGAATTCAATGCAGTTACTTACTATTCCAAATTTAGCTGACGAGTTTCTTAAGCAAGGACGAAACGATCGTCGTAAGTAGCTTGGAATCGTCTTAAATACACAGTCTCACCATCAATATCTAGCCGTCAACCTTATAGATATAATGCCACATTTTACCGCCCATTTAACCCATCCACCCTCACTCTGGTCACCATTTCCAATTCCCTTCTTCACGTCTTTGCTTTGCATAAAAAGCATTACCATTGTTACACCAAAAAAAATACCAACTATAAAGAAAAAGAATTGTACTTATACGTGACTCATGTAATGAAGAAGCAATTCTGGTGTTCTCTCGAATTCTGTTCGAACGGACTTGTGTTCTCCTCTTTCACTTATGGGTTTTTTTCCATCGAGAAAGAGAATATAAAGTGCATGCATAGTAGAAAGTCGCATTCTCATCGGGAATCGATCATGCTCCTCTTCGAAGAGAGGTGCTTTCTGAATATTTGTTTCTACTGTTAGGTTATATTCCTACCAATGCAAGGATTCGAGATGGTATTACTCGAAAGGAACTCATGCCAATTTTCAGGAATCACGCTTCTGGGAATCGGTCTCAATCGGTTGAATTTTGATCTCAAACGGTTGAATCTGCTTGGCAAGTATGGTTGACAGGAATTAATTGCTGTTTTGGGTTCGATTTGACCCGAAATGGTATTTGGATGGATTTATAACAATCGGAGCACAGAAACTTCTTTAAAAAACTAATTCTTGATTGTAAGTTCTAGAGAAGCAGGGATAGAAAACAAACGAATTTTGAGTGATTCCAGTTGTAACTGCTAACGATCTATTCCAAGTTCACATTTGGTATTGACGACAATTCGATAATGTACATGACTAACGATAAGAATATTTCCCTTTGTCTCTCACAATATAAAACTGAACTGTTCACATTTCATAGTTGATCATCATGAAACAAACATTGTAAGATACTCTACTTTCATTTTTTTTCAGATTATTATTAAAAGAGACCTATCACGACGATACGTTCCACAAAGTACACGAAGCTATGGCTACCACTGGTATTATTATCTTAGGAAATAGTGGCGTAGGTAAAAGTTTTCTTGCGAATGTAATTCTTGGTGAAGAAGCTTTTAAACATGAAACCAGAATGAACGCTTGTACACTAACAACAGAATATAGAGCGGCTAGAATAGGTGATAAACAATATGCTGTCTATAACATTCCGGGTTTTATTGAAGCTGATCAGGAACGTATTGATCATAATATACGTGAAATTGATGCTGCATTTATTGGACATCCAACTGCAGTCATAGTCTTTGTCCTGGGAGTTGGCAATGGTGGTCGAATTATTAATGAAGATATTGTTGCATTTAATGCTATCAATAAAGCTTATCGATTTGGTGAAAAGTCAATAATTTTTGTTTTAAACCAACTAGATAAAAATAAAGTAAATGATTATAAATCGTCGGCGGCAAAAGAACAGTTAAGCAAACTTTTACACCTTGATGTTCGTCATTTATGCGTGGTTCCTAAAATCGATGCATCTTCATTGAATGAGAAAAAAGCAATTCAATCTGAATTATTGAACGCAATACAACTTGTTCCAGCAAAAACGCACAAAAAGGAGCAAGCTATTACTTTATTACTAACTGAACTATTCGGTTTAAAAGAGCAAATAGCTGAGTTACAAAAGCAATTCGAGGAAGACAAGAAGCAACGACAACTAGAAGAACAGAAAGCAAAGCATCAGTTAGAGCTCCAACAGAAGGAACATCAATTACAACTCGAACGAAAGGAACATGAATTAGAACTTGCAAGAGAACAAACACGTCGAATGATGGAAACTATGCATATTAGAGACAGTAAGTGTTTTGAGCTAGGAAAGATATGTAAACTGTGTGACAATTTTCTGATAGAAGGGATATTACTGAAGATGGACTAACACTTTATTCTGTACCTTCATATCATACAATCGCATAGTTTACAAAGAAAGTACCCGTTTAGATATGCCACAAGAATGAGAGAGAGACAGATAACGAAAGGAAGTAGAGGAAAGAAAAGAATTGGTGAAAAATAGTAATGACAGTGATGAGAGAGCACAGATATCTTGATACTGTCATAGTAAACGATCAGCTAATGAACGATATATAGTAATACAAGAGAGAAAGAGAAAGTGTTACGTATTCAATATTGACAGATGGATTATGTATCATCATGTATATACATTCGACAATCAGAACCAAATAATAAAAAATCATCAACTCAACACAGACTGTTACAAGCTGTTGCAATTCAAATTGTATGTCGAATTTGTTTGCTGCACGTGTGAAAAGCACCACCGATCTTTTCTTATATTCTCAAACTAACTTATTAAACGTTCGAATCTTAATTTCGTATTTTTTGCAGGTTCAACTCCAGTATATACTCCGTGTTTTCCACCGATGCTCTCTTCTGCTCCACCAGTTTTCGATATCTCGCGTTTTCCTACGGGTTCAAGACCCCTCAAAGCTGATGGTACGCCAGACCTGCGTTACAAAATAAATAGTATATTCAAATAAAATTAGTAAATAACTGCGAAGAGATTTATCTTTTATATTTTTCATATATATTTGTAACTCATATTTTCATTAACCGACAAATAAAATCATTATCGGACCATTTAGCAACAAGTAATGTTCGTCGCCTGGACTTGCTTGACCCTCTACTGATTGAGGGATATTTTTAAGCTCAATGATTGCAATTTCACCGCAGTTTTCCATAATTTCATAAAAAACAGCGTAATATCAACGACAACCACTAAATTTTCACTGCTTACACTACTCTAGAGAAGGAATTTTCTCAAACTTCTATGTGAGAAAGCTTTTCCAGAAAGCTCATTACTTTGGATTTCAAGTCTATGGGTGTAATGAGAGGGTGCAGGCGTTCATCATGTCGCCTGATGTATTCGTATTAGTGACCATAGCCTTTTTTAGAAAATAATTATTATGGTTTCGCAATTATCAGGTAGCAGTATTCAGTTTTCTCTTACGATATCTGGATCCTATGTGAAGTACAAGAAATGGAAGAAGGAAGTGACTAACATTTGAAGAGCGTTCCCATGACTGTTGGTATCTGGTGACTTATAACCTTTTATTTTTCACACTTTTGAAAAGAAGACTATAGCAACAACACAAAACAGGAAAATCAACTAACTAAAAGACTTTTATCACGGTTTCCATATATTCCTCCTACCTACTCCTTAATGACCAATAGAGATAAGATAATAAAAAGAATGGTAGCGGACATAGCTAGCGCCAGTACCTAACATCTTCGCGCATTTGCCAGTGAACAGAGTTATCTGTTCACCAGAAATATGTTAAACAAGAAGAAGAAACCTACACGAACCGAATTTAACAATAGAATAATTGAGAAAAGCATACAAAAAGGATTCAACAAGAATTCCATGAAAGAAAACAAAACAATATACGCTACTAAAAACAGAAAGAACAGCACATCATACGGGAGGATGAAAATACAAGTAGCACTCGTCCCTTGGACTCGCTTAACCCTCGGCTGAATATTGCACCGCTACCGGAGTTCTTCATTTCTGCAGAGCGTCTGCGTGTACGTGTAGATGTAAAT